AAAAAAAAAAAAGAACCCGTGGTTTCTGGACCCACAAATCTGGTTCAGACAGTCCGCCACCCGGTCTTGGAGGGAAATCGGGTGACAAAGGTTTAAGAGACGGGGAGCAGGGCTGGCCGCTTTGGTCTCAAGCTGGAAGTGTCCCCCAACGCACCTCGGCACAGAGGCAGAACGGTCGCGATAGAGATCACGCAGCCCGCGGAGCAGAGAACGCACCCTCTCTGCCCTTTACAGAAGACGCCACTTCGCAGAGTGCCGTACGTCCATCAGACAACCCCGGAGAGCCGACCTGGGCCCGAAGGCCACAGCACCTGCTCCGGAGTTCACGCTGACGGCCACGTCCTGCTCTCACCTTTACTGCCCTCAGAGAGAAGGACCTGGGGGAGGTATCTGGGCACTGCTTCTCCGATGACAGAGCGTCAAACAACCCATCGATCTCGGCCTGCTCCGCGGGGAGAAACTGTGAACAAAACCTCGGCCCCGACTGGCTTCTGCTGTTGCCCATGTCTCCTTGTATCCGGCAGAATTCTCTGCGGAAGACACCACGGCACAGATCATGTCAGAGAGGTCAAAGCACAGTCGTCACAGAAAATCAACGTTGACAATCACATGGTCAGTCAGTCAATGCCGAGTTAGCTGCAAAAAGGGGCTGGAACCCCTCAGAGCTAAGCAACGTTCCAAGGTGGTTCAGCGACAGAGTCGATGAAAATAAAGTGGGAAAGCCTGACCCCGGCCCCCTGGGCGCCTGGAGCACACTCATGACAGCCAAGCAGTCTGGACCGCGTTATTTGAAAACATGGTTCTAAAGAAAAAAAAAAAAAAAGAAAACATGGTTCTAAAACTCATGGTCACTGAAAAGGTAGAAAAATCAGTATGTTAATCGAAATACTCGTATTTTTTAAAACCTGACTTGAAAAAAGTCTGGAAGGCTGGATGATCACACGTATTTGAATCAAAGCAGCGCCTTAAAAATACCACCTATAAAGTGAACGTGGGACTGCACGGGCGTTTCCCTGTGATCCTGGATCTGCCCCCAGCTGGGGGGTCAGAAAAGCAGGGTCAGGGCCACCTGGGTGGCTCAGTCGGTTAAACGTCCGACTTCAGCTCAGGTCATGATCTCGCGATTCATGGGTTCGAGCCCCACGTTGGGCTCTGTGCTGACAGCTTGGAGCCCAGAGCCTGCTTCGGATCCTGTCTCCGGCTCTCCCTCCCCTGCACACGCATGCTCTCTTTCTATAAACAAATAA